TGATCTTGCTGAAGAAAGAGGGGGAATGATCACCTTAGGAAAGCTTAGCGGGATCTGAGTAACATTTATGTCAGTCTCACCTTTTGGGAGAAGCCTAAAAGCTTTGGTCCTACTGAGCAGAAAGCTGAGCTGATTTATGCCAGCTAGAGCCCAGGCATAGTGTTACATGCCATGATTTATTTTTTCAGACTGAACTTGCACATTCTTGCTATGACATTGACATTCTTTGCTGGTGCTGTTGCTATGAGAGGGTGGGCTCTGAGAGGCTGGAAAGTGCAGGCTTCTCTCACGCTCTGCCCAGCCCCAACGAGGTTGCATTAAGCATTTAGAGCTGGTCACTGCTGCAGGCAGTGCTGTAGATTAAAGGCTTCATTAATTCAAGTATATCACTCAAGTCACACACATCTGTTGTTCAGAGTGTGCTTTGTGCATTAAGATTATGAGTCCAATTCAGAAGCCTGTACTTACACATAATTCCTCTGAAAGGACAGATATGCTTTTCTTCTGTTCTCTTTTCCTGTTCAAGTATCTATAGCCAAAATACTCTGCGTGTGACAGAAGAGCCAAAGTTATCTTTCCCTGTGGGTAACTTCATAATATTGAGGAAACAATAACTCCAGTGAAATTAGACTCTCAGAAAAAGATGGCATCTGGAACCCATCTTCTGCTAGCATGTCCCAGCAAAAGAATATGAATTATATAACTCCCTTCCTTCCTAGAGCACTAAGGGGCCATTATATTAGCACTTAATTTTTCTACTGCCCTTCATGTCACACAGTGCCCAACAGATTTGTTATTAAAATAGAGATGTAGGCTTTGCTTACTGCAACATGCCCAAAATGAGGGTGATGGTTATTGCTTCTTCTAGCCTTGTGCCCTTCCTATATCCATGTCTTATACTGCCATAATCTAAATAGCATTTGAGCTAATGACAGGTTTCTGTATGGCAAGTGTAAAGAATCTCTTCATGTAATGCCGAATGTGAAGAAGGATCCAGGTGACATGGTGCAGAAAACTCTGTCTAGGAGATTACACACCACCAGAGCTAGAAGGCATTAGATGGGCTGAGTGAGATTTCAAGCATCCTGGAGTGGGAAGGTTATCAGGTATCTGTAGAGCCCAGGGGCTGACACTGCAACCTCTAACTCAGAGTTGCACAGATAGTCTTGCTCTGGGTAAGTGCAACTTGTATATCTTCTTGCGTTAAGTCATTGTTGCAGGCTGACACTTGTGTTGCAAATGGACTTGTTAGTGGGCTGATGGATGTTCTGATTCACCTTGCTGTGATCCTAATGAAATACCTTGTTTCTACTGGCAGGCTGGTCTCCTCCCAAAAACTGGTCCTGTAGATTACTGCAAGACATGCTCTTTCCAACGCTAGGGGCAGATGGGACAAGCCGTGTTACTGAATTGGCCTTGGGACTTTTGCCAAGGTTGAATGGTGAAGTTTCATTTTTTGCCTGTCACCAGACACCAGCTTTGGAGACAGATACGACACCAGTTGGCATCAGGCACTAAATTTCCAGTTGTGTATCAAAATGAGTACATTTCTCCTAGCTGCAAGTAGCCTCTGATTGAATCATTGCTTGAGACTGAGAGAAATTTGATGTTAAGCCAGCTGCTTAGTTTTCAGAACAGGCTAGATACATCAGGCAGACCCACAGACTTATTGTCTCCCATGGCCTGAGCAAAACTGGGCTGAGACCATAGTTTGACTATCCTATCTGTATTTGCTTGTGTCTTTTGGTTTCGTACAGTGTGAATCAGAGCCAGACAGGGTGTTTGGATAGCTGCGCTGACTTCTGCTCTATTGCAGGAGGAACTCAGCAAGTTTCATGGATTTTCTTTGCAACCCTTATATAAAAGGTTATGACAAGGTTATCACTTAATTGACGTTTGTGAAGTTTCCACTTGGCTAGTGTATCTGTGGACTTGCACCCTCAGTATAAAGGACATAATACTGGTAAGGAGATGCACACTCATTTGTGAGCACGGTCTGCATTTGTACCTGCAGCCTGATTACAGCAGGGGTTTTGCAAGGAAAACCCTTGATATACTGGTGTGAATGCTGGGAGTGTGTGGGTTAGTGTTTAAGCAGGTTAGTGTTTACAACTGCCTACTCCACATCTGTTGAGATTGACTGGGAGAGTCCAATTTATCTTCATGCAAGTTGTGTCTAAATCTGACTTGCCTAGGTCACAACATCTTGATGCAAGAATAGATATTGGAAATAAAATCTGTGACTCCACTGTCATTCTTCGATGTTACACCCTGCTTTCTCTTAAGCATATCGATCCCATGGTAACATGAGGAGGGCAGTTGCTTTTTTAAAAAGTACCAGAGTGGCACTTCTCTAAATACACATCTTTATTGGGGTACATTTCTATTTGCACTTCTAATTTTCTCTAACATCAGCGTTCAAATGCTTTCAGCCTGCAGGACATGATACACAGGTAGAGCTTTTCATTCAGGTTCCCATTAGGCACAAGAAGAGCTTTCCTTCCTGGGTTTCCCAGCACAGCACTACTTTCTTTTGCTGGTATTATTGCAGCCCCTTGTGAGGATTCGTATAGTTAAAGTCTCTTGTGCAGAGCTGCCAGCTTTCCCAGATACTGGCAGCTGCCTTCCCTTGTTCTCTCAGTTCTTCTTTCCTGTCCCTTTTGCAAAAGCCTCACCTCTGTCAGGTGTTCGTGAATCTGTTGCAAGCCAGAAAAGTGAGCTGCCAAAATGCCTTTTCAGTTCCTGAGATGGTTTCATCCTTTGCATGTCTTTGGCAATGGCTGGTAGGGCTGGTATAGCCTGTCATGTGCCACCTGCCTTCTCTGCTGCATTACTGGCTCTTCAGCTGTTCCTGTAAAGGGCTGTGACAGCACCAATGCCTGCAATGCTCTTCATTTAGACCCACATCATTCCCCACAGATTGTAGGTAAAATGATCTCTTCTTTGCTGAAGAAGTTGCTTCTGGATGGAAGTGCCTCCCTTCCCTCCCAAATCCTAATCCCTGCCAGCAAAGCAGCAATGGGTAGAGCTTTCCCAAGTGCCCATTTGCCCCAAACACCCATTATTTAATTCATACCCTCAGCTGCAGCCAAGTGACAGTGTGGCTGGGGTCGACCCAACACGTACATAGGTGTTGCTGTGGGTTGTGGCTGGAGGTGCAAGAGTGCAGGCAAAAGATGGATTTCAATCCTGGGGACAAAATGTTCTGTGGGCAGATCCCTCACTGCTATTACCCAGAGACTCAACCTGCCCTTGGTGCTGACAAGGAAAGAACTGACAGTTCTTCCTAGGGCATTTTATTCTGGGTCTACACCAGAGACTGGAGAGAGACTGCAGTCTTGCCACACAGCTCGAGGGGCAGATGTCAGTGTGTGGCACTTGTCTGTAGCAATGGGTCTTGCAAGGGGGTGCTATTTTTTGATGTGTCCCAGAGCTCACATCTCGGGCTTACCCAGCCCCTCCAAGGTAATGTTTACAGTAACATAAAACCTAACACTGCCTCTTCCTGGGTGACAGAAATCTGCACTCTCTTTCACAGAGAAGTGTGGTATAAATAATGACAAGTTTCCTGAGAAACTTGTGCTTGTAGCCTGGAAACCATCCCCAGGATAAGTTGTGGAGACTTTTCCATAAACAGTAGAATTTTTTAAATCTGGATTTTAGTGTGACAAGCCAAATAAGTGCCCCCATCCTGAGGAGAATTGCCTGGGGTGGGTACCAGCTATGCATTTCAGGGTGCTGGCTGGCTCCTGAAGTTCCCTGTGGCTTTACAGCATCCTCTGGATGTCCAGGGCAGTAGAAGGGATACAGCCCCACCTGACCTCACTCAGTGGGAAGGGTACGTGCCCTTTCTGTGGCAGCACTGCAGCTCTGATGAGCAAAATGAAAAGACAGACCCATTGTGGTTCAGGTTTTTAAACATCTGCAAGGGATTCTTTTGTGAATGTTACAGCAAAGGAAATGTTTGGAGAGGTTTGCTTTCTGCTACACAGAAAAGAAGATGTGGAATCCCAGGAGGGAAAAAGCAATCTTTGCTCCAAGATTAGATGCTGGCAGGCAAATACTGTATTTTTGCTTTCATTTCTGAGAGTCAATGGACTACCCTGAAACCATTAGTCTGTGACAGCCCCTACAGCCCTGCAGAGACATTTGAATTCTTGACTAGTTTAATATTGCAAGTCCTTGGCAGTGGCACATTATTGACCGTACTCAGAAGGCTATCTCCAAAACTGCTGACAGCTATAGGATTGCTACAGATGTGGAGTCAATCATTACTACACTAGGTTAAGGAAAGCTTTTTAAAATAGCCCTGCTTGTGGTCCTGTGCCAGTCTGGTAGACAGGACAGATAAGTGGTAATGGAAAAAAGCAAACCCAACCCCCAGAAAACAAGCCCTAGCTAAAACACATAAATGCAAGCCGAGTCTTCAGTTCAGGGTAAAATGTGTTTGTCTGTAGTTTGACTTTTGTGAGTTAACATCTGCTAAAGAAAGGCTTCACCACCTTGAAAGCTTCCCTGCAGTTCCAGAAATCCAAGGGCAGATAGCCCTTTGTAAGGTATTGGTGGTTATAGTGGTATCTCACTTTGCCTGGCCTGATAGCAGTAGGTCCTGCATGGTGCAGGAAGGTCCCAGAAACACTGTTGCATAGCTTGTTATCAAAGCAAACACAATTTCTTCTTCTGTATACATGAGATACTCTTTCTGGATACTGTAACTTCCTTAACTATGGGAGAGAACACCATGGTCCACTGTGTCAGTATTGCTTTGGAAATGTCATGGTGTAAAAGGCAAGAAGCAGGAGCAGGTGCCGGTTACATGTGGCACAGGCAGTGCCCTGATGCAGTGGAGTGATTTCCTTGGCTCCAGAACCACCTGCATCTACGTTAGGCTGTTGAGGGACCATTCCTTCACGTTTCTAAAGCCTCCTGCAAGGAGTCTTTTGAAGGTGAGACTCCGGTTTCCCATTTGTGACTTTTTCTGACGCTATTTTACGTCCCAGGTGCTTTCCATACACTTTTTTTAACTCGTGGGTGTAGCAGCAGAGAGCTGCAATGTCCAAGAGCTCCCAGGTCACATTGGCTGCTGAGCCAAACTGGCCTCATCAGCAGCCCCGTGAGCATAGCCAGTGTGACTGCTCCGTACCCAGTATGTTTTGATTTCTTCATTAAGCACCTGAAGACAAGACAGGACTGCTGTTGTATTCCTAATACATCTTTGCTAACATGGGCTTTGCTGTTTGTTTGAGAGCGCCAGTTTGGCTTCTCCTGCCTTAACTTGGGAAGAGGCAGAAATGAAGGCTGCCTGCCCCCCTTGCCTGTTACTGCTCCTGTCCCTCCCTGATCACTGCACAAGTATTCAAGGTTGTAGCTATTTTGTTGTCCTCTGGAGAACCACAAAGCTTGCCTAATGCTTCTCTCTTTTACATTCCCAAGTCTTTTATTTGATTATCCTTCATACATTGTGTGTTTCTCCTAAAACTTGTCCTAGACAATCCCCTTCAGAAGTTTACTCCCATACAACAGATGGCAGGGGGTTTGGTGATAGATCACAGCACGGCTAAGATGAAGTGTTGGGTAGCACAGACTTTTCTTGAGCAGTACCTGCAGCTAGGGACAGACAGCAGTCTGTGGTGGAGAAATCACACTTGGGGAGCAAACATCAGGAGAGAGACCTTTGCAAAAGCAAGGTCTGCAATCTCATGTCACTGGTGCTCCCGCGGAACCATGAGCCTTGCTCATATGCTCCCCAGCTGTCTTGGTACCAGGCATCCCATTCTTTACCCTTGGCTTTGCTGCTCAGCTGGGTGGCAGTGCCATGTCCCTGCTGTGCCCTGGTGTGCTGCCTCACTGTGGGGACTCAAGCTGCCATTTCACCTGAGAGAGGCTGGTGCAGGCAAAGTTGCCCTGCTGCCAGGCATCTGTGGAGCAACTTCTGCTTCAAATTTCCTCCTTTCTTTCTGCATCTGGGGGGAAGATGTTCATCTGGAAGACTTTAACCTCAGTGCTGACAGGTTTTCATCCCCTCCCCATGGTTAATCTGGAGACCAGGCTGGATGTTGGTGTGACAGCAAGTTGGGCTTGGAAGTGAAAATTTTTGTTGTGGTTCTTGTTTCTGCATGCAGCCATGTGTGGAGCAGCCCATGCACAGGGGCCCTTGATAGATGCTAATTTGATTGATTCTCACTCACTGTCTGCTCCCCTGTGCCTCCACCAAAGGATGACTTTTCTGATGCCAAGAATTTGTGCAGCAGTATAGCTGAGTTCACCACCCAAGAACTGAGGGCCTGTGCCAATTTTTTAATTGCATTTTTTCTGGCAAATAGCCATAGCTTGGTCTTAAGAAAAAGAAGTCAAATACTTCTAGCTTTCAACCCTGTGTCAGTCTGTTGTGGAGCAAAGCTTGGAAGTACAGCTGGACCTTACTTTACTTAACTGAGGGGAGGAAGAGAGTACCCAGGCTTTTGGGCTAGAAGGAGGGATGACAGAAACCAACAGACCAGCCCTATTTTGCAGGAGTTGGAGAGACCCTTGATGTAGAAGAACTGTCTTGGACAGACATGTATCTGAGCTGGGAGGATTGTCCTTTTGCAGGCAGGAAGTGTTCAGGCAGAGCTCTGTTACTTCTGGCTTGTGCTGAACAATGGAGGCTCCTGTTATTCAAACCCATGATTTTTTGACCCCTTGTGAGCAGGTCTGACTGAACAGCCAAGCATGAGCTGAGTTTCACTGCATTGCCCTTGTGAGAGAAATGGAGGCCCTGAGTTGTACTGGGAAGTGCCAGAAGCTGCAATAAAGCACTGCAAGACCTAGCAAAACTCATTGCATGGCATAAACATGATGGAGACAGAGGATTATCAGCAAACACATTGTCCTAAAGGCAAATCATGTACTATCTTCTTGGTGAATTACTGGCTATGTTACAAATCCATTTTAGATGGAATCTTTATGATCTTGTCTGCACTGGAGGGGAGGATGGTTTGTCTGTCACTTTGAATTTCCTATGGTATGTAGAGTCTGTTAGGAGCTATCTGCCTCGTATGCCTGGCTCATGGCATCTCCAACAGAAACATAAATCATCTTATTAATTGCACAAATATGTTTGCACCAACACAGTATTTCAGATAGGTTGGCTGACAGGTTCAGTAACTCTTCGTCACCCGCTGTAACAAGCATGTTTTCTCCAAATTTTATTCAGGAGCAACTTGGGGCATGTATGAGCCAGTGCCTTCTTTGACAAAAGGCTGTTGTCAAGGCTGTTGTCCCAGCTAGCCCTAACATTTCAGCAATCCTCTGGAATAAAAGGTGCCAACTGGCTGACCACTTTACCTCTCATCTGTCTCCCTCTTGCTCACCTCTGCAGGATACCTGTGATGGGTGCAGAGCTGAGCAGCCAAAGGGGCCACTGGTGCCACACCAGGGCTGGTCATTGTGATGGCCTCTGCATCCACCCGGAATAAGGAAGATGTAAATGGTGTATTTGGGTACTAAACAGCTGAATCCTCACTATTACACAATCTGGTCTCCTGTCTAAAAATTCCCTCTTTTATATCAGTTTCAGTGTGTACATATTCAGAAGCCCTGATGTTGTACCACCTGAGCAAAGGTAGGAATGTGAAACCAAGCCCAGGAGGATGGGAATGGCAGCTTTGCAGTCAGCTCACGTGGGTTCATGGCCAGGAATTGCCTGGCACTGCTGTGTTCCTCCTTGGTTCAGCAAAAGCTGGTAGGTTGTTGAATTCTGAGGTGAAACAGCTGCCTCTGGCGTGAATCAGTGCACACATGGGCTCCTCCTTGTGCTCTACTCATTTTGGTTATAAGCACAAAGATTGGTTTTCTGTAGGCTCAGCCCAATGGTGAATTGTCATGGTGTCCTTTTGCTCCGTAGATGAGAGCCTGTTGAACAAACATATACTTTGTCCTAACTGTCGTCCATCCCCAGGATGAAGCAACTCTCCCTCTGTGACAGACTGCACAGAGGATTGTCAGTGCCCTGCAGAGAGCCACATAATCTGGGGAATGAGAAACACGAGCCATGGGTTTTTAGTGGCAGCATAATTCATGGCAATGAAGCCAAATAAATATTTACCAGTGCACAACTGAGGGTAAGAGCATTGTCACATAATGCCACACTAGGACAGAACCAAGGCAGGATCCATGATGCAGGATGCCAAAAGCCAGGAGAAGCAGCTCGGATGTGGATACACAAACTGGTACTCAAGCAGCCAAGGCCACCAGGAGGGATGGGTGGAGGACAATGGCCCAGCTTTTTTTGGCCAGTGCACACTGTTGTGCTCAAGTGTTGCTCAGTAGAATAGCTGGGGTATTATTTTTAAAGCACTCTTCAGGGAAAGCAGCATTTTACAGCCCAATGGGCATGAGCCATATTCCCACAGCAGGTTGGCACACAGCTGGTGTCTGTATATTCATTTTCTGTGCAGGCTGATTTTGGGGGCTTTGCAGAGAGAACAGCATTGTTTGATACTCCACACTGTTTGCTGGGACAGCGAGCCTTAGGAGCAGTGAACTTTGCCCAACTTTAGCATTTCAAGGCAATAAACTTCTGACGTTCTTCTGTACCTCACTAGGAAGATGTCTCCCTCCCTGTGGCAGCTGGAATTTCTTCATCCTACTTGTGATACAGATACAGACAATTGGCTCCAAAATGTTAAAGAAAATCAGGGCACTGTCTTATGAATGTGGCTGTTCCTCTGTGGATGGGGCTTATTCTGAAGCAGAGGAGCCAGGTCTAAGATTTTTAGCTTGATTATGTATCTGCAGCAGTCAGAACAGGCTCTCTGTGCTGCTGAGGAGCAGCACAGATGTTCCCCAGGTCATACCCCATAGTGAGTACTGGTCTATACAGATGTGAATCGTGGGCTTCTGCTAGTGCTGTGTAGTGGGGAGGCACAAGATGTGATCATCCAGCATGGACTCCCTGGGTTCTTGGTGCTTCACCAGTAACTAATTTCTGATGTTGCTTAGGAGCTGTTGTGTGAAGCTTTTTGTGTGCTACAGCTTGTATATTTTGCACATTGGGAAGTTTTTGTCAATCCTTATTACCTGGAGTTACTTCTTCAGGTTTCCTGTAACTGTGTTTTTCATCAGCTGGACTAACCTCTCGAGATGTCTTACACCAATACCAAATCACAGTATGGTTGGAATACCTGTGTGGTAGTGTCACCTGTTGCTGCAACAGCAACAAGGAAATGAGCAGTATTTCACACTGGAGCAGAATGAGATCAGACAAACCAAGAAGGGATACTGTAAACCTATGGATCCCTAGCAGGAAGGCAGATATCCAAGCCCTGAGCCTCCATGCCAATGCCATGTTCTGTTTGAAGATCACAAAATCATAGAATGGTTGACATTAGAAGGGACCTCTGGAGATCATCTTGTTCAAAATCTCTTGGTGAGAGCCAACTTCCTCCTAGTCTGCCGAAATCCTGGAGGGTTTCATGGGATTTGACTGGATACAGATAATTTAAGAAATACTACTTCTCTGTAATTCCACAAATAGAGAGATAGTGGTTTTCTAGCAGTTTAAACTAATTTTTAAAGATTCTAAGTAACTTAGTAGGCATAGGAGTTGAGAAAATGCCCTTAGTTATGCTCAGTTTAGAAATTCAAAACTCAGCAATTGTCATTAGATCCAAGATGTTTTCTGTACTGTGTTTCAGCACTGAGTAAATCAGCAGTGGAAGGAGAAAAGAATTGGGAAGAAAAATGCAATACAATCTGTAGCAAAATGGCAAAGCCCAACTTAAAGCCATGACAATCACATACATTAGCAAAAAGGATCTTGTCACCTGTGTCAAGTACTTCCTTTTCCATTGTCGTGGCACAGCCCCATCTCACATTCTGTCTCTGAGGCACAGGTGCAAGGGAGATGGGTGGTTTGATGCAATTTATCCATGCAGACAAGAAATAATGTTCCCTTCCCTGAGGTACAGGCAAGTCCAGTCATGGATTATATGCTTGGCTTTCCTCAAACCACAGCCTTCAGTCGTGTTGGTACATGGTTTCCCAATACCAGCCTTGACTTGTCCTTCAGGTAGCAAGTTGCCCTATTACGTCTTTCCAAGCCTTAGCCACATGTCCAAACAGAGAGTAATTCCCAGCCTTACCCTCTGGTTGCCTCAGTTTTTCTTGGAGGACTTCTTCCAAGTATTTCTAGTGCCACACTACCCCAGAAGGATGTGCTGCCCACCCCTCAGCTGCACAGGTACCTCTGTCTCAGCAAGTGGTGTCCCCCATGGGGCCCTTGTTTTGGTCAGAGCCATGACAGGGGCTCCACTGAGCTGCAGCATTCAGGGATAGGCAAGGGCATGGTTGGAAATAACTCCTCTGAAGTATACTTGTAGAAAAAAATGTAGAGGAACAAAGTGTCAATGACAGAAGCCTGTAGCCCTTCTAGATGTACCAGGTAAGTGTTATACTAGGGTTCTGCAACACTGTAAATTTCAGGGTTACAGCTGAGTAAGTGAGACTGGAATCTGACCCCTTATATATGAAAAATTCCTTAATTATTATTAGGATGCTGGCTGGGCTTGCAAAGTTCACATTCAGATGGTAAGAAATGGTAATTTTAAGTTTGCCAAGCAAACATAATTATTCTGCACAAGTGCACATCTTATATTCAGCAAGGCAGGGTTCCCGGGGAAAATGACAAGTGTAATTAAAACCTGTCTCATCATGCATGCACGCAGGGGAGGGCAAGCTGGGATTGTAATGGTAACTGCTCCTAGCAGGTGTTTTTCTCTTAATATGAAGTATTAAATAAAACTTCCTGTGCTTATTAACCCAAATACTCTGCCATATGCTTCTAACAGTGCCGCTGTGATGTGTTGCAAACAGCCTGAACTTGAACTATATCTTTCAGCATAAGCTTTTGTCTTCAGAGGTACAAAACTGCCTACCTTAACTGAGACTGTTACAGGAGCCTGGAGCACTGTTGATGATGTAAATTCTTTGCACTTTGTAGCTCTGGAGGTTGTTAGTTTTCCATGCTGAAGATCTCAGGCTTGTTACGTCATGGTGGGGATCCTCCATGGCTGGTGGGGCAGAGGAGGAAACCCTGCCAAAAGCACTGTCATCTGTTGCCTGCATCTGTGAGCTGGTGATGTGATAAACTACATTTTTAATAAAAAAGAGTCAGAAGGGGAGGAAGCAGAGCTGGAGCTAGGCACTGGCTTTGGATAATCTGAGCCTGGTGTGTCGCTTCAGAAGGCAAGGTGCTGGGTCTGAAGGAGGGGGAAGCTTG